TATCACGTCAATTTTTAAGAAAAACAGAGGGATTTGAATATATAAAATTAAAAATTAAAAAGGGCTTTAAAAAAAATTGATTTGAAAATATTAATGGAAAATTTATTTGTTTGGTGTAAATATGGAAGTAGAAAAACGATCTTGAAAGGGGTGAATAGACCCAAATCAAAATTCAACCGCCGTTTTCCCAAAATCACAGTATTTTCAAAAAAATGAGTTGTGAGAGGAAGGTTTGATGCGAAAATGAAAATTATGTATTTTGAATATTGATCAAGTCTGTGAAGGCAAATCGCCACACATCACACGAGTCTGCAAGACATCATTCGATATAGGTTTCGATGATGACGAATTACAACCATGGATGAATTGGCAATTGTAAACTCCAACTCTACCAAACAAATGCAACGTATCACCTACCATATCCTTTTATATTTGTCTAAAAACTGTTATAATAAATATAATATGTGTAGATAAAATGTGGTCGTGACAAGAGGCATGAAAAACCACAAGAATATCAATTTTGCAGGTTTGCAGGGCATGGGTCGACCATAGGGTCGGCGCATGCATCAGTGCATTTTTCCACTGGTCAGCGCATGAAGGGTTGAGTCGACCAGAGGGTCGGCGCATGAAGGAAATACTTTTCAACGGGTCAGCGCACACCGACTGTATGGTCGACGCATACTGATACATTTTGCAGATTTCCAAAAAACGCAGGCTATGCACCGACGCACAGACCTGCTGCGGTCGACCGTTTGCGCGGAAATACAGTTTTTAAGTGACTCCCTCTATTATTTGAAAAGCTGTTATGTCTTTGGTTGGTCTGGTACTACATATACAAGTTCAACCACTTAAGTCATTTTAACATTTGATAAAAACTGATTCATGTGTTCAAGAATAAGAAAGAGTGAAATAGGTGTCCAAGATTCATCATCTTCATCTTCAACATCTCACAACACATCAATTACACACAACCATTTTTGAAGTGCATTGTGAGTGATTAAAGGTGATAAGGTTCAAAGCTTAGATTGGGTAATCTAGTTCGGGTTGAAGCTTGTGACAGGTTCTTTCTTGAATAAAACCGTTAGGGTTTTATCCTCCAAGATTGGTTTGAATTTTGGGGGTTTTTAGACGAGATTCTTCATCAAGGGTCAACTGAGCGAAGGTGATTGTGAAGAGGTGTTCTTCAACAGTCTAGTAGCGGATTCAGTGATATTGAAGGGAAGATCTCGGGTTTGATTCGTTGCAGTTGAGATCAGCCGGAGCCGAAGGTTTGAACAACTAAGGGTTATTCAATAAGGTGGCTGGAATCAGAGGTCTATCAACAACGATCGGAGGACTTGATTCATCTTGAATCAAGGGGCAAGGAGTGGAAGCAACATTCAACGTATTGAGAATTCTGTTGTATATTTGATGTTCAATCCTTGTATAAACTGTTACATTCAACAGGTGATATCTATTAAATCTATCTCAATTCTAGTTTTAGAATTGAGGACAGACGTACCCCGAAGCGAGGACGACGGGGGAACTGCCTCACCAAATACTTGTCTTCTCTATTTTTCAGCATTTTCGTTTTAGCTTAAAAATAAGTGATTTTTGTATAAGCACTATTGTTATACTGTGATATCAATTGAGTAAGAGGTTAAAACTATGTTTTTGAATCCAAAGTACAATAAGACATTGTACTAGGCTAGTTGGAATCACTTACTCAACATAAATATCACTTGGAGTGTTTTGCACACCAAGTGTTTGACAAATTGCCTAAACCAAAATTATCTTACTTGTGTATCTAGTTTTGGTTTGCTCATTAAATCATTGGAACTAGGAATCCTAACAAGTGAATTAGATCATTGATAAGTGTAATTAGTGTTGTGATTCTCTTTTCCATATTGTCATTAATCCAAAGGCTTATCGCATATTCGGTTTTCCAATAACCGTTCGTTTTAGACTATATTTTCCTCGGCCGCTTCTGCACTTAAAACATATTTTCAAAACCAATTTTTAAATTGGTAGCGCCGAATCAAATTTTTAATTGGGATCTATTCAACCCCCCCTTCTAGATCCGTGCCATAGTCTAACAAAGTCAACACAGATCATTTAAAAAATATCAAAGATTAATATGATTGAAACACTTTGTATGAATTGATTCAATTGTGAAATGTAAGAGAAGTGTTTACACATCTATTCAATTGATGAATTTTTAAATTCAATTCACTTCAGATTATTAATCAGAAGACTAGCTTAACCAGTTATCCAATTTCAATAAAACCTAATGTTTACGTAATAAATCACTATCAAGAACAAAATATATAATACGACAGAATTGAAAAGACTAAACATGCAATCACTATGAATTTAAATGAGAGAGAGAGAGAGAGAGAGAGAGAGAGAGAGAGAGAGAGAGAGAGAGGGGGGGGGGGGAGAGATGGGGAGAGAGAGAGAGAGTGAGTGAGTGAGATGACACTGAAATTTATAGTGCTTCGGCATTCATCATCGCTTTGCCTACGTGCATTCTTCAATGGTTTCCCATTAGAACCTACATAGTTTATTGTTATTTGACAAATATTTCCAAGAGTTCATACAATCATCAATCCACATCATAGCTAAGAAAATAAATCTCCTAATTTGGATATTTACTTGTATATAGCAAACTTGCTAAACTCTTTCACGTAATCTTTACACTCAAGTACATTTCTTGAATCTTCCAATAACACCAATTCTGCTCCAAGCCTTTGTGCATAGCAATCAACCCCTTGATCCTACCAATTCCTTGAGTGGTGAAATTGTCCAAAGATCTAAGAAGAACTCCACCTTATCTGTAGCTTCCACAAAGTCACTACTAAGGAAATTATGGAGAGAAGAACCTACTTTTTTTTAATGGAATTTCTCACCACCATTGACAATTCCTCAATCTTGCTAACAACCTAAAAAAACTCAACAAGATCTCCAAGAACGGTTAATTTTAAGTACGTGTCTCCTTCAATCAATTACAAAACTCTCTTTATCAAGATCTGAACTCAATTGAAGTTGAAGATGTAAGAATTTAGTATTAAGACTTTGAACACTTAAAACAGAGGAAATTGATTTTCACTAAAGAACACATTGAGAAATATGATTAGAATTATAGATTCATGTTTTAGAAATGATGACAAAAATGTTTTATATGTGCTTGAGATTAAGCAGACAAAAAGGTTGAAAAAGGTAGTTAGACTTGACTCAAGAGAAAAATATAATTTGAATCAAATGAGCAAAAGAAGTGAAATAGAAGAAATAATTGAATTTTGAAACAGTTGATTCAGATCAAAGAAAGCGTGTTTCGAATCAAATGCCACGTGACTCAAATCATGTTTAAAATTTGATTCGAATCAAATGTGACAAAACTGACAATAAATTTTTGAAAAAGAAATTGATTCAAATCATGTATAAATATTGATAAGAATCAAATCAAACAAAATCTGTCACTAGGAAAATGATCAAAATCAAGTGCAAAATTTGATTTAAATCAAATGCCTGTGTTGCACTTCTGTTCAATTTGACCAGGATAAAAAAAATTTAGTGTAAAACTGAATGATTTAAATTAATCTTGTAAAATCTCTAATTTTCAAATTTTCAAAAGCATTTTGAGATTTTACTTTGAATCAAACTTTGACCAAAACACAAATGAACTTCACTCAACTAACATATTCTATTGATCAAAGAACATTTTGATCAAGATCAAATCTAACCAGAGTTTTATGCATGCTAAAAAATAAATCGTTTCAAACTCGATTTCAAGAAGTGCGATGATATAGAAGCTCCCCCTAAATAAAGTAGAGACATGCAACTACAATATTACCTCTCAGTTTAACCATGTAACCGAGATTAATATTAATAAAAAATAAAGAGAAAAAACAAAGAAAAAAAAGCTAAAAAGACACTAACTGAGCAATACTAATTAAACCATTAAAAAAAATCTAAAATACAGTATTAGAAATTCAAAGCGGATTGGTTTGTAGTTATATTCTCTCAGTTTAAAAAAAACCGAAAAAAATATATTGTATATATTTTATTTTTTTAAAATAAAACATGACATTCTTACTATATATCCCTCAATTTTTTATTGTTCAAAATTAAATTTTCATCGTAAAATATCTTATCTGTATATATTTATTCTCTTTCTTCTATATATTTGTTCCATCATCTCTTTCTTCTAATAAGTATATATTTGTTCTTAAAAAAGTGACTTTGATCAAAAAATAACCATAATACTTCATTTATGTTGTAGGACAGATACTCCACATAACCTAATATGCCTTCCTAAATCTTGAAAAGACTTTTTCCTCCAACTTAAACTCATGTGTAACCTTTTTTATTCTATCCACGTAGTATTAATAATTAATCTCTAAAATATATGCGTGATTTATCGCAAAATAAACCACGAAGTTTTAAAAAAAAAAGATAAATAATGAATTGTTGAATTCCATATTTACCAATTAAAAAAACGACAAATAATGTGGTTGTTATAAATTTTGAATTATTGATTTCCATATTTACCGATTAATAAAAAAAGGATAAATAATGAGTTTTTTTTTCGTTGAAATAAATGGAGTGGAAAAAGTGGTTTCTTATTTCTGGATATTTTTCTAACATTGCCGCTTAAATTTGACAAAATGAAAATTACAAACACTTCTGCTTTTATTTTAAGTATATCACAATACTTCAAGTTCGTTTTTTAAATATCTCTCTTGCAAACAAATTATACAACATTAATATGATTAAGAAAAACACCCTAATTAACCAACGTAGTAATCAAAACAAGATTTAACAAATCACATTAAATTAATAACTCTTAATCTTGACATACATATACTCCAACTCCAAGTAACAAAAAATCACAACATAATTTAAATCAACTCAAAATAACTTTTAAAAACATTTCATAGTTTAACATAAAAAAATAAAAAATAAAACACCATGCCATAACTTCAACTAGAGACTATAGCAATCAAAATATAGAAACTTATTCAAAGCTTGAGTGTCAAATCAAGCCCAGAAGATTCATCAGAAGGTTCTTCTTCATTGTTGAACTTTGGTTGTTGAATATCGTCTTTGTTCGAAGCAGGAGCCGCAAAAAAATTCTTGTCTATGATTGAGTTTGAACTTGTGGCAACATCTTTAGAAGAATCTCCAAATTTTAGAAAAGCAGTAATTTTGTTATTTGGACTATTTTCAACCCTAGAAGAAGTTGCACTACCAAGACCTAGAATTCCAACCCTGCTACTACCTTCCATGTTGTTTCTTAAATTAAGAAGAGAAGGGTTTAATGTTTCTTGCAAACACAAACCACCATGACCATAAGAAAAATTATTTGATGAAACCCTAGGGCTAAAAAATGATGGTTTTTGAATCATTGACTCCATTCTAACCCCAAGTGATCCATATGGTGAATAAATAGAACTAGGGTAACGAAAATAAGGGTTCAAGTGAGTTTGCCCTAACCCTAAGGCATCGCTGTCGTACCTTTGTTCACGTTGCTTTTTCAAAGCGCGTTCTGCTTTATGGGCGTTCTGGTGCCCTCCTAGCGCTTGAAGTGTAGAAAACTCCCTCTTGCAAAAATTGCATGAATATAACGTCTTTGACTCTGTATTCTTCTCTTCAGTGATTTTCTCATCTTTCTTTTTGTTGTCAATATTAGGAGAAACAGACGATGATCCAGGGATAAAAAAATCATACTCATGCGCATTTGATCTGTCAACCGAATCCTCTTTCAATACCTTCATGAAATCAATAGGTGCCTTGGAATCAGAGTTTGGGGTCTTCTTCTCCTTTTCGTCCACCACTTTTTTTGAATTGAAAGAAACACCATGATCTTGTGAAGTGATTGAAATGCTAGAGGATTCGGAAGCCATGACACAAATTAAGTGTAGCAAACTATACCTTATGTTGATTTTCGATTTGATGATAAGAGTGACTTATAAGAGGAGTTATTTATTAAAAAAAATTAATATCTGCAATAATTCACATATCTTTGAATAAGGAAAGAGATATCTGATTCATATTTTGCTGTTAGGGGATGTATAATTGCACCCATTCATTTGTGCAGTTTTGAATTCCAATTAAGACAGATATTTAATGGTTGAAAAATTTGAAACGATGTGAGGAGGGACATTGCACCGATTAAGTTTGAACATTATTATTTAAACTGGATAATGCGTGTGGTTATTTATTAGGTTAGTTAAATCTTCCATAGTTTTAATATAAGAGTGTATTTGTTTTTCATAATTCTATAATTTTAAATAGGGTTCCATATGGAGCAAGTCCAATTGTTGACCATATTATTTTTAGTAATTTTTCATAAAATATTATTTTTTTTATAAAATTTATTTTTCGATTAAAAATAAGAATATTCAACTTTTGAATAATATTTTAAAAGTTTACGTTAGATTTTAATGTAATAGTATATTTGATCATTATGTTTCTATAATATAAAATGGGTCTTGAATATAAATCAAGTCTAATGGTGGACCTTATTATTTTTAGTAAATTTTAATAAAATATTCTATTTTTTTTCTTTTTTACTATTATGAAATTAACTTTTTATTTTAAGTAATAAAATTCAACCTTTGAACAATTCTAAAAACATTTTTTAAGACAATTATATTTATAAGAAAAAACACATTAGACTCTAGCAATTGCCATTCAAATAACATTTCATATATAATTTTGAGTTAATCTAAAAAAAAAACGAAGTCTTACGGTAGGAAAAACAAACAATAACATGATACCATTTTTCTATAATTTAATATAAGAGAATATTTGTTTTTCATTTTTCTATAATATAAAATGCGGTTCTATAAGGAGCAATCCAATTGTGGGGCTTATTATATTTAGCAAATTTTTCATAAAATATTATATGTTCGATTTTTTATTAGTATAAAATTTATTTATTTTATTAAAAATAATAATAGTCAACTTTTGAATAATTCTTTAAAAGTTTATGTAGTATAATTATATTTGTTCATTATTTTTCTATAACTTAAAATGGGCCTCTAATATAAATATACTCTATTGGTGTACCTTAATATTTATAGTAAATTTTAATAAAATATTCTATTTTTTATTTTTTTATTATTACAAAATATTTTTTTTTATTTTAAATAATTAAAGTCGACCTTTGATCCGTTTTAAAAAAGATTATGCTAGATTAATCTATATATGTAAAGAAAAAGTAGCAAACAAAGAGAATAATGTTTATATAAAAGTCAAGAGTAGCAAAAAGTGCAATAAATCAGAAACAATTAATTCCAAGAATAACTTTCGAAATGGGAAAACTAAATAACTACGAAGTAAAAATAAGAAAAGAAACAACAATTTAGAAAATCACTGTGAAGTAGCCAACAAACAATATAGTTGGTCTATACTCAAGTCCCAAGCACACTAGAGTGTGTGCAATCTAGAGGAATGAAGATATGAATGCCTGAAGAAAAAAAAATGAAGGCAGTTGGTCGGCTAACTCAATCCTAAATATTCAGCCGCTTAAGTGGGTCTCTCTTATAGTCTAATAAGTAACGTCGAAACTCGGAGCATGGCATGTACTCACTTCTAGACTAGACTAATAATCTTTGATATTCAGAGGTTAATGGTCGACATTCTTATTTAAAAATAAAATTATTATTTAATGTTTAAATAGTCCAAACTTTAAAATACTAGATCGAAACCAAACCTAAAAACATTACCTTTCCTTTCTCTAGACCTAGAACGAGTCAAACACACTCAAAATTGACTGCACAAAAGGTACGGGCCGCCCCAACCACCTAAAACACCACACACCAGATAGTTTAGGCAACCTCGCACAACAAAAAGGTGATCTACCGACTCCTTCAAGCTAGCACACGTTGCGCATGCCGCATCACTACTATAAGGAATGGTGTAATATTCCATATTCCCTTAAATGCTCAATTGGGTGTTAGTGGAGATCGACTGAATTCTAATGTACTCTACCTTTGTTAATTAGAGTAGTTAGAGCTTCTGAATGCTCTAAGTGTTATCAGTTTGGACCAACAGAGTGATGAGTGAATTCTAAAGAGAGAGCAACTATTAATAAAAGAGACAGACCAATATTAATAAGTGTAAGAGATGACATTTTGATAATATGAATTATTAATTAATTAGTGTTAGATGACAAAATATCAATTGGCATATTTTGTATTATTATATAATACTATATTATATACATGTATTATTATATATTGATGGATGGAAAGAAAAGAAAAAGAAAAGTTAGTAAGAAAGAAAGAGGAAGAGAGAAAGAAGAAGAGAGAAAGAGGAAAAAGGAAAGCTCTTGGATCATCGTCATCAATTCATCTTTTTCTTCAACAAAGTGAGCTCTATTAGATAGTGTAGCCATTGAAGAGAAGAATATGCATGATTGGGAGGTTAGGTTTTTTGGAAAAAAACACGTTTAAATGTGAAATTGGATGTTAATACATGATGATTTGATGAACAATAAAAATAACATAAAAAATTATATTATTTTTGTAACATAAAATAAAAGAGGGTGCATCAAAATGCACTAATCAACTGGAAATGAAACTCGTGACCTTAATATATTTCACCACAATTTATGATTATGGTGACTGACCCGTGGTGTAAAGCAACATATTTACTACCACCCTTACCTTACCATGGCTGCTCAACCATGATCATATATATTTTCTAACGGGAAGAAAGGCATTTACATAATAGTGTAATTATGCATATTCATTTTTTACAAGAAAACTCATACATGTCAAACGGTTAAAATCCCATAGACCATAAATCCAAGTGATTCATAAAATTTAAGAAAGTAAGTTTTCGAGCATAGAAGGATGTCACATAATCTCGGAATGGTGTTTGAGAGTTAAATACCTACAAGTTGAAAGATATATATAAAAAAAAGAATAATAACTAACTATCATTCGGAGAAAAATAATTAATATAAATAATTATAAATATATTACTTTCTTTCATGAATCAACAATACCGATAGAGAGAATATTCAACATATATTTCATCAAATAATATCTACGCTTATGGCCTGATGCTTGTTACCTCCTCTACAAATAAATTTTATATAGTTAATAATAATACACACATAAAAAGTAAATTATTATAGATGTAAATGATAGTTGGAATTAAGACCACTTACTTTAGACATAATTCATTTACTCTTTTTATTTCTAGCATCATGCAAATAATGATATCCATCTATAGCTTTATATGTTAATAAAAAAATTCAAAAATAAAGTGTATATATATATATATATATATATATATATATATATATATATATATATATATATATATATATATATATATATATATATATATATATATATATATATATATATATATATATATATATATATATATATATATATATATATATATATATATATATATATATATATATATATATATATATATATATATATATATATATATATATATATATATATATATATATATATATATATATATATATATATATATATATATATATATATATATATATATATATATATATATATATATATATATATATATATATATATATATATATATATATATATATATATATATATATATATATATATATATATATATATATATATATATATATATATATATATATATATATATATATATATATATATATATATAAGATTTGGTTCTGCTGTTTAACTTTAAGTTTTGGTAATAACAAGGTAGTAATTGTATGAAATTTTTTTTGGTACTCTAACGGTTTGTTATTCTGAGGTTTTAACAAAAAGGTTCTGACTCTGATAAAGACTATATACAACGTCATTCTGGTATGACATAAGTCGCTTCTGCACCAAAGAAGCAAGTCTGCTTTTGTACCTACTCACATTCATAAAGATTCTAAGAAGATAATATGATACTATTGCAATGCTCTCTTGGATTCTACCTATGAGCGTGACTCTGATGATTTACTTTTGAAGGCTTTCTAGCTTCTGAAATTGTTATGTTCTAAAGACTAAGTGCTAAGGACTCTGAAGACAAGGTTCTGCTGAACAAAATTATGAAGACTCTGAAGACTTAAGTTTCTAAAGACTAAAGGTTCTGAAGACTAAGTGATAAAGACTTTGAAGACAAGGTTCGGCTGGAAAAAATTCTGAAGACTTAAGCTTCTGAAGACTAAATGCTAAAGACTCTGAAGACAAGGTTCTGGTGAACAAAGTTCTGAGGACTCTGAAGACTTAAGACTCTAAAGACCTAGTTATTAACTCTTCTACTCATGCTTTAAACATCTTTATTCAGAAGCCTCTGATGTATAGAAGATAAGATCAAATGTTTACGAAAGAAATAATATATAGTACGTATCAAAAACGTATCATTCCACCACCATTCCACTACCCTAATTTTGTGGTTAAAAGCATAACTTTTGTGTATGATTTTCATCCCTACGTAACGACATTCTTTTAAGTCACCAGCTCACTCAATAATATTCCTGATATGCCCTTCAACAGATCTTTTACTGGCTATGTAAGGACTTGATAACTTGAAGAAAAGAAGAAGAAGAACAAGAACAAGAACAAGAACGCAAGAACCCAACAACGAAAAACTCATAATGTGTGCAATTCTTCTTTAAGTATTTTTAAGAGATTCATTGTGTTCATTTATGCTTGATTAGAAGCATTTCTTTGTAAACATTTATATTTCACAAATTGTGTTTGTAATTCCTTAAGGGACCAGTTAGGTCAAAATCCTTATGAAGACTTAGACAGTTAGTCTTTGTGGTTGTTAGTCACAATCAGTTGCTAGTGCATATTGTAATTAGTTGATTATATTGGATTAAGTCCTTGGATAAGGAAAAATCACCTTGGCAGGTGGAATGGATTAGCTTGAC